CTACTGGTTATTCCCCTCCTAAATCGATCGCTAATAGGTCACCATTGGTAGGTGCAGCCGAAGGCGGGTTCAGTTCGCCCCCCCCATGACACCGCCCTGACCGAGTGTGACGACATCAGCGATATTACACGCAGACACGACCTCCCTAGGTTGCTGATATGGAGGGTAGCTCGGGTTGATAGCTGTCCGTCTGGTAGGCATTAATTTGCCCCTTCCTGTTCAGCTTGCGGATCTAATGCATTAATTCACATTACAGAAGCACTCATTGGCGCTTCCGGAGACCGGCAGATGGTTGAACCGTGGGCCGCGGCCATAACTGCCACCCGTGCCAGGTCTCCGCATACCGCAATCTGCTACGGACTCTAGCTTCCACTGAACTCGTCCACACTAGCCAATCTCTTGATTGCTGGCCTAAGCCCATACTCCAATTACATACCGGTAACCAATTATAAGTTTTCAGGTGCATAGAATAGAAACAAAGGCCCAATGAAGAAGGCAATTAGGGGCGCTCCATCCGTCAAAGACCTCCGGGGGACCTTTTTCACCCTACGACATTCCAGTTGACGGGAATGAAGCAGCTCTGGTCTGGTCTGGACTTTCACTTCGATGTCGGCGAGCTAGTTGCACTGTTCTAAGAGATTCTGCAACGCTCTGCTGGGGTTGGCTTACCCGAAAGTCTGTTGTATACTCTAGTTCGCTGCGGACGAAGGGGCGTGTCAGGCAGTATGAGTGTGCCACGGCACTAAAACCATTCTCTGCCAGTTGTTGAAGCGGGTATGCGACAACAAGTGGTAGAAAACGAGTGATACGAACGATATGATACAGCCTTGCCACTTGCTCGCTTCAACAACTAGTGGAGAACGGGTTTGACACAATCGAATTAATCCCGCCTGACACGCCCCTTCGTTCGTAGCGAACTAGGCAATAGTTTCAGTCCAGTATCGAAGCAGTCAGTATTGTCAGACTACAGTAAGCTTTAAGAAGCTGGTAGAAAGAACAACTGCCTGATGTGATGAATCATGCTCATGACACTCAGCTGTGATGTCCCCACTTCACTGGACCAAGTCTCACTTCCTGCTAAAGGTTCGGAGTCACCTCTAGTGTCAATGGATAAGTGATAAGTGAGGTATTAAAGGGACAAGTTCGATGAAGCGATGCAGGAATAAGTTTGGAATGAGTAAGGTGGTGTAAGGTGGTTTACAACCACGTTGGGGAATCCCCAGCGGCGGGGTGGGGGGCGGGGGGGGGGTGTCGTATTTGCATCAAGAGAAATTTGCAAACGTCCGCGTCGCGAAGAAATTTTTCCGGATGTTGAGTTTCAGCGGTTTCTTCCGCTTCACTGGTGATGTACCCCGCTAGGCGACAAAATTTTGAACCAAAGCTAGAAAATTCTTGAGAAATTTCGGAATATATGGTAGGAGGTTGGGGACAGGGCACAGCATCATTGTGTGGAACAGGTAAGGGGCTCGTACATTTTCCCACTGGTCCGCTGGGAAGGGGGGGGGGTCGTATTTGGTTGTGGAGGAGCAGAGGGTCGTGTGTGGCTTTGACTGAAATTTGCTGCTTTCGGAAAAAAATTTTCCCTGGCTGTTGATTTTCGTGATTTTTACTGGTTTTAGGTGTACTTTTATATCCGCGGGGGGGGGGGCGCAGCAAGAGATGGAACTTGGTGAGAAGCGTATTTTACGAAAATTTTCCTCAGTAACGTGCCCTATTGACAACCAACCCCTCCCCGAAAGGAGATTCTCATGACCGCGCAATTTTAATTTCTGTGCAGCCATGAGGGGTATCTGCGGCAGTTGTCCGCCCGCAATCGATGAGACGACGGGGCTCAGCGCGACATTTCACGATGGTGGATGACCCCTCGGTCTTCTCACAGACGCATAATCACACATTCACCATAGTCACACATTCACGGGCTGCCCTTGATTTTCTACAATTGTTTTCCGCTTTTCTTTCATTGTTAATATTCTCGCTAGTACTGACTGTTTATTGCACTACGAATTAGCAATCTAAAATTTCTATCTATAATTCTCGGATGGCCACTATTTACTGCGGAACTGATCGCTCAACTCAATCATGGGTATTGCAAAAGCTTTCACATATTTATTCGAACTGCTTTATGACAGAAAGGGCTGTTATGGACTGGTCATTCCTAGTTGTTTTTGACTGATTGAATTATTTGTGTAGTAACGATGAGTCGGTATCGGTCTGAAAGTGACGAAAATCGTGGACGGACCACATCTCGACCGACAAGCGATGGCTTGTCCACTTTCTACAGGTACAATTCTGCTTCTATTTTGTTAGGTGGTATCTTTGAATAGTTCTGTTTCCAGGGAACGGTTTGGAAGTCATTCCCCTGAGGAATATATGAATTTGCGAATATCCGGGTTTGACGACAAACTAGAACGAGAAGAGATCAAGGAAATTCTGGCTAATGAGTTTCGAAAATTTGCACCATTTGAGGTATATTTGAGGCTGCGTTCATGCTTTACGTCAGCGTTTTGGGCGGCTTGGAAAGAATAGATATCAATCTAGCCTTTTGCGCTTTTGTGCGTGGTCCTGTTACAAAACCCTGTGACGGATAGAGTACAGCAGCTGCCAATTCATCGAAACGTGGAAGAATCATATAGCGAGCCAAAAAAACGGGCTTTTTCAAGGGGAGGGACTCCGGGGTGGGTGAACCACTTATAATCCATGAAAAGCTGGAATGTGGCACAACAACCATAGAGTGCCATGCGGACGAGAGAGTGCAGAGAAAAACAGAAGATCGGTGCGTTTGAAGGGATTGAGTTCAAGTTGTCCGTAGACCCTTTTGCGCGGGTATGTGACAAGAGAATCGTAATTCGCTGCGCTGATGGGCGTCGCGTGCGACGTCGCGCCCACAAATGATGATAAGAGGGCGTAGATGGCGACGGCATTGTAGAACCGAACGTAGCCATAAATGTTTTTAGTTTTGAATCCACAAGAAATGTGGTGCTCCAGTCGACAGGCTAAGAACACTAGTTAAGGAAACGCCGCGGTCTATCGCCGCGGCGCGCGGGACCGCGGCGTATCTTAACTACGATTCTCTTGCCCGTCCCCTTTTGCGCCCGCCACCGTTTTCAGCGATTGCCCGCGAAAAGTTCAAAACTATCCGCGAAATGTTCGAAAGGCTGGCAGAAGCTCAAAACGCTAGATATACCTATAGTCGTTCGAAACGCTGGCGTCAGAATGCCGATGCGAAGTGTGAACCTACTACAGGGATTTATATATTTAGATCATTTCCTTGCCACACAAACTCTTAGGTGCCGTTCATTCTAGATCAAAGTAGTTCGAAATCCTGGAGATGAGGAAAGATTGGCATACGTCAATTTTGAACGAAGAGATTGTGCCAGAAAAGTCAGGTGAGTCATCTTAAGAACGCTTTCAGACATTGCGATCGAATCGCTCGAGCGACTGAGTCGCGAGTTCGGATCCCGCGTTCACACAGCGCCAGTTTGAATAGCTGTATCAAAAGCTTTCCGTTTTCAGATACACTGTAATGGATCGCTTAAGAAAAGTACTTGGTCGACGTGTCCTTTGTGATCCTGCGGGAATTCTCCGCGACCAAGAAGGAAAATATATTCCCGACCGTTTCAATCGTGCCCTTCAGGTGATCCACAGGGATTTCTAGGTATATCAGGCTTTTGCCATGATTTCTTATTTCTTTTTTAGGGTGATCGAAGCGGGCGCCGTTCACCCGATCGAAGATCACGTCCCAAGGAACCACCCCAATGGAGGTTGAAAGAAGACGATTCCGATGCTACGAGAACTCTTTTTGTTGGAAATATGCCATCTGACATAAGAGAATCCGAGATTCGCAAAGTGAGCCACTTGAAAACTTTTCGTTTCTAACATTCGCATCGTCAGTGCTATTGCTCCCCTTTCCGTGGCTTTCAGTTGTATCCTGGTTATCCTTTAGTTTGGCGCTGTAGGGGGCATTTCGCACTTTCTCTATTCATTTTGTTAATTCATGTGGAATAAAAGCTCCTGTAAACTTCGGTGAGGCTGCGAAATGGCGAGTGCTTCGCTTGCAGGAATTTGCAGGTCCTCACAAAGCACCCTGTCACCCCCAGCAAGCCAAACTGCGTCCTCCGTTCATATGTTCCCGTGGCAATTAAACCATTTCTTTTTTTATTCGGTTATCGGCGGAGGTGCAGTAGTGTAAGCAATTAGTGGAACTGTTTGAAAATTCCTGTTTCCTTCCCTCACCCCAGAGTTTCTTTGTTTTCCGGTTTGAGCCAGGGAAGCAAAGAAGCCTGGGGTGAGTGAACAGTTGTGGGTGTCGGTCAGGTGGCTTACTATTCGTATTCGTGGTTTTGCAGTCCCGCTTCAATTGTATTCTAATGGTGCGCACTGAACGCAAAAACCTTAAAGACCGCCCTGTGTTCATTCGACGCTCAGGGCCCTTCTTCGGTCGATATTCCGCTGCTGGCTCTCACGCGGGGCGTGCTCAAGACCCATTTTACCACTAAGTAGGAAGAGTTCAACTTTGTTTAATATCATGCATTTTTTGCGAATACTATACAATTAGCAGATGAAACTCAGCAGTTAACACTTTCAAGTTTCCTTTAGGTTTTCGAAAGGTATGGCAAAATTGAGGATATTGATATCAAAACCGCCGGCGAACACTGATGCAGCCTACGCGTTCGTCATGTTCCAGGTATTCATGCTCAAGTTATAGACCGTATTTCGCTTTGAGAAAAGGATTATTTTCATTTGAAGAATCTCGAACAAGCAATGGAAGCGAAGCATGGTGAACATGATCGCTCTATAAGACCCGGTTCGGTGCGCTGTAAAATTGGTTACGGCAAAAGTCAGGGTAATAGATACGTTTACCGTATCTCCTAAACGACGATATCAGTATGATTCCGTTCCTAGACCCACGTACGCCTGGGGGTAGGTGGCCTAGCTGTCGGGGGGACTACTGCAGAAGCTCTTGCTAAAGAATTCGATCGTTATGGTCCAATAGAAAAGCTCGAGTATGAAGTAAGTCTGCTGCTGTTTTTCTAGTTTTCCGAGTGCCTAAAGACAAATGAGGCACTCACCTCCTCGGACCATCTTTGCCTATGTCGAGGGAAGGGTTACGCGTATGCTGCAGTCAACGTGCCACTTCTCCACCTCATCACCTGCAGTCGAGCAGACCGTAAGTACAGATATCGGTAGTCTCCAGACTCCATCCGCGTTATCCTCAAGGTGCAGCTTTTGCGTACCGATCCCGCAGCGAAATTTTCCGTGGGCAGAAAGGAAAGAGCGCAGACAAGTATTGTGTTTGAATCTTATGGCTAAGCGCCTGAGTGGGAATGCGGCAGGTGTCAGGGTATGGAGACGGCATCCAGGCATCTCTACTCTCCACCTCCGTTCTCGTGCACTTTTGTCCAAAGAAAGTGGCACCCTGCTGCAGTTGCGGACCCTTTCCCTACAGCGCGACGCAGAATCAGGTTCACATTAGGCGAGGTGCCAGTTTGTCTTTAACGCTGTGAAATGCGCGTGTAAATCAAATGTAACAACATTTCAAGCTGCTGCCGATTCGTACATCCGATTTGCCGGGATACAAATGGCCGCACCTTGACGCATGCAAGAGCAATGAAAAACTTATCCACTGGCGGCAGGATAGCATGATAATTTGAGTTATGCAAATTAACGGAGATTCATTTGCAAGTCAAATACGAATCGTTCAAAGAAAATCAGTCATGTTAAGAGACGACACCCGCAAAGAAGCCAAACGCAGAGAGTGCGTAGGAACAAAGAAGCAAGCACAAAATCTCAACTGGGTGACCCAGAACGCAGCCAGTACACCACAACCTATAGTGAAAACTTTTGAGGAACTCGATGAGGAATACGCCACAACTTGGCAAGGACAGGTACAGCATTCTTCTTTTTTTGATCTCTCCTTTGATTCAGTTGCAGTTTGGAAGGATTGCATTCAGGTGTTGCTCAAGAAGACGGAATATAGCATCAAATTGTACCGAATAGGTGGAACTGAGAGACTTATCCAAAAGTTATTACGAGATGATGATGGGAATGCCGTCAAATTGCACTCACCAAAGAGTGATTATTGTCTCTATGATGCATTTGAATCTCTAGCAACCGATTGAATCGAACAGTGAAGATGTGTTAGAATCAGACAATAACCTGATCCGAACGTTTTTGTGGGTGCCGACTATCCACTGCTCAAAAAGGAAGTGTTACAATATCCTTTATGAGAAATTCTGACATCATTCTGTTGTTTCCTGCAGCCTTGCTATGAACGGCGTGGTGTGTCAAGAGTAATGAGTTTGGCGCGGCGTCAGCCTCTTCTTCGCTTGTAGCAGCTATTTCCTCGTTCCGCGTTCAGACTTCGCGATCGCGCGATCGCGCTACTGAGGGTGAAATTACTGCGGGAGGGGGTTATGTGCGTATATGTTTATTGATCCTGCTCTCTCTCTCTCTCTCTCTCTCTCTCTCTCTCTCTCTCTCTCTCTCTCTCTCTCTCTTTTCCTTCTTTCTTCCTTTGTGTACATAACGCCCTCCTAATTTTAAGGAACGTTTCGAAATATCTTTGAGTTATTTATTATTTCCTATGTAAAATAGTACTAAATATACAATATGCTAATTATTATACTGAATTTTGCATCTGAGTACGTTCAAGCGGAGTATTGAACATCTTGTTCCAAAAGTAAGACACGCAGAACTTTCAACAGCGGGTGATGTTGTTTCTCTCCCTTCCCCCGATTTTGCCAGTCCTCCAGATATTCACTTTACTTTTGTCACATTGTGTTTGCTTTGTTTGTTCTGCCATCCTCCAGGTCTATACACAACCTTTCCTTTCAACGGTTTCTGCAAACGTCAGTATTGCGAATATGAACACGGAATAAAAGACATCAAAAAAGGTCGAACTTACTTTTATATCGTTTTTGGAACTGCCTATTGGAGGCAGGATACAGCATTGTGATGTGAGAAATGGTGATATTAGTACGCTCCCTTCCCAGAACTTTGTTGTTGTTGTTTGTTGAGTTGAGTTGAACATGAACGAACATGACCCCCTCCCGCAGTAATTTCACCCTCAGTAGCGCGATCGGATCGCGCGATCCAATCGCGCGATCCTGAGGGTGAAATCACGCGATCCGATCACGCGATCCGATCGCGCGATCCAAGCGATCCGATCGCGCGATCGCGAAGTCTGAACGCGCTCTTAGCTTCAACAACTGGTGGAGAACGGGCTTGCGGCGCGCCATACCCATCCCCGCTGACACGCCCAGTCATCCTCAGCGAACAATACTGTACACATCTTTAAACAGCTCAGCTGTCATGAGTCCGTGGGTTTTTCAAAGCTCCAGACATTACGGTGAATTTTGTGTCACACGACTAAGTGTCGCGCAAAAATCGAAGCGTTTACATAGTGAATTTCAAAATGGTCGGCCATATTTCGATTTGTAGAGCCGTAACGTATAATGCATTTCAGGCTGGCGCTGTCGGGTCAGGAAGGACTTTTGGAAAGGTTGACGAATTCCTCTAGTAAACAGCTCAGTTTGATGATAGCAGTTGGAAAGCATATAGATGATATTCGACCGCTAGTGCGATATCTTACAGAAAAAGATGCTGCTGGTTTGTTGTTTACTAACTTTTCTCCAACTGCGCTGTTTTTTCATAGTTCTTCAAGAAGCGATTCGGTAACAGAAGGGTGGAGCAATTTGAATTTTTTCCTACTTCCCATCGACGTGCCGAGCCACCAAGTGGGATTCTGTGGAGCCACGAAATGTTTTCAACCAAACTTGTGGGACTACTTGCCAATAAAAATAATAATACAATAAAGCAAGAGCGAGACTTGTAAACGGGAACCAGTGAAGCAGCAGCAAGAATGCAAAACGCTACCCCCCCCCCTCCCACAACTGCGCCCTCATCAGTTTCTCATTTCTTCGTTTTTCTCTTATTTCTCGAACTTTTCAGGTGTAGTCACTGTGACTGCCGGACTTCTGTACATATTTCCACACAGCGACATGGCTACTAAGCTAATTACTCATTTTGCACCAACTGTGCGTCTGATGTCTCAAGGATGCCCCTTCCTATTCTTTGTGCTGGGGCTCAAAACGTCCTCAGCTGCTGCTTCGCCTAATCGTTGATTTGTATTCTCTATTCTCTACATTGAATGAATGAATTTCCCTCTAGGGGAACTCTCAGGTTTGACGAAACCTTCAAGGATGAGAGATCTATTCACGAAACTTCAGGATGATAAATACTATTACCTATTTGAATTTCACGCGCTTGCCGCGCTGTAGTGTCGTAAGTTTCGAGTATTCAATCATTTTCTGTGAAAGGAAAACTTTACTATGAAAAGCATGGCGTCGTGCAACTGTTAGTATTCCTATCTAGCCGAGTGATCGCTGCTTATTCCTTCGACCTACTACTCATATTCTGAATTATATTTGCGCTGTTCACTACTGGTTGCTTGCTCTACTACAAAGTATTCTTGTCATTCATTATTAACTTGTGTTATGGTCGTCGTGATACTAGTTCCAGCAATTCACAACACTGTTCAGTTCGGCCGGCGGAATTCTCTGAAACGCAATGCTAACTGGTCTATTCATTGTGGCACTGATATTCACTATTTTCTTACAGATTACTCGTATTACTGTGCAAATGACATCATTGATATTCTCCTACGTTCCCACGTTCCTTACTCTTATACTCAAATTATTTTAGATTGTGCATTAGAGGCTTTAACATAAAGAATCTTTTCTAATGTTTGCATCTTCTTGGATTTCGTTCCGTTTGCTCGATATCGTGGTGTGTTTCTTTTTCGAAGTATCTACAGCTTGCCCCCTCAGGTCCAGCATAGTAAGGTACAGTCTTGTCCGCTGCGGATGAGGGAAGAGGCGTGTCTGGCGACGTGGTGTCAAGCCCGTTCTGACCACTTGTTGAAGCGGGTAAACAACAGCAGTTGGTGGGAAAAACGACTGATACACTATGATACAGTATTTTGCCTGCTTGCTTCAACAAATGAGGGGAAAACGTGCCGCGCCGAACCCATCCTGCTTGACACGCCCGTTCTGTGGCAGCTGTATAGTTTCCGTTCTATCCTTATGCCGCGATCTGTGGATCAGCGACCGCATTCCACCGCCGATTTTCTGGCCGTAGAAGGTTGAACCATATTAAAAATATATCTTCTTCCGACCTCTACGACGGTACGATTAGCGGTAGAGTGCGCTTATAGTGTAGTTCGCTGCGGACGGTTGGGCGTGTCAGGCGGGGCTAGTATGGCGCGGTGCCAAACCCGTTTGCCACCAGTTGTTAAAGCGAGAAAATGATCTAGCCGCATCATATCGTTCGTATTACTCCTTTTTTTACGCATGCACACACTTCGACAAGAGGCAGAGAACGGCTTAGATGGGGTGACACACTCATACTGCCTGACACGCCCGACCGTCCGCAGCGAACTAGCGTGTAGTCGAAATGGTGAGACTTAAAGGCAGCGTCCGCGATCAACCAAAGTGAAAAACCCTCCAATGAAAACGAACGCGGAGTACGCAACCATAGCGGATATCCCACTCTTGCGGCTCGAAATGTATTGATTGACGAGGGCGGAGTCAACAAGGCTGAGCTGACGCCTCCTTCCCTGTTAATCCCGCCCCGACTGGTTAACAGTTATCAGTGCTTGCTGGCATTGACGCTAAGTTTCTGGAGTTCCGAGCCGGCGACATGTATAGGAGAACCCACCAAAGGTCTGCGAAACTCGTCCACATGCCTTAAATTTCGTAGGGTCTTATTTCACGCTCTTCCACACCTTTTTCCTACTTTTTTTGATTAGTGCTTCATTGGCCACCTGTTCTAACAAATTTGACCCCTGAGACCTGCCAAAGTCCATCGCGGGCGCTGTCTTTAACGTACCACGTATTTTTGCCTTAATAGCGCGTCAACAGCGATGTGACCCTCCTATTTTTCAACTTTTCACATTTAAATAACTGGCTCCCCTCTCCTCTCCTCCATGGGCAGCCCGTGCTGATCCCCCTCGCTCAGAGGTTTGTTGTTTAGCACTTTGGGAGCTTAGTCACTGCTATTCAGCTAGACTTAAGCTTTCCTTATGATAAAAACTGCGAACAGTTAAGTACGTAAGTTCAGCCGCGCCTGTTGCTACGCGTCTCCTGCACAGCTGAGGGTGGTCCAGTATGGCCTAGTTCACGGCGGACGACGAGGTGAGTGTCACACGGGGTAAGTTTGGCGCGATGTCAGACTCGTTCTATTCCCGCTGTTGAAGCGAGCAAGCAAGCAAAAGATCGTATTGTATCGTATCTTTCATATCGCTCGTTTTATACCAACTGTTGTGAAATACCCGCTTCAAGAACGGCTAGTACCGTTTGAACGCGATTACTTTCCGCCTGTGGAGTCATTTAAAAAGTGCCTAGATCACCAAATCCGCTGAAAACTTGTATACAGGGGTTATTTAACATCCTGATTACGAATATGACATTCATTCGTGGCGCTGGCGCTAATGGAGGACACTACGATTATCTGCGCTCTGCTAAGGCTGAGCCCAAAAGGTAATCGTAGTGTCTTCCATTTTGGCGCCAGCGCCAAGAATGAATGTCATATTCGTGATCAGGATTTCGAATAAGTCTTGTCAAGTTTTCAGCGGATTTGGTGATCTAGGCACTTCATAAATACTCCACAGCGGAAAGTGATCGCGTCCAAACGGCATTAGCCTCCAACAACTGGCATAGAACGGGTTTGACACCGCGGCACACTCATTCTGAATGACACGCCCCTTCATCCTCAGCGAACTACTTCCCAGGCGAAATAGCAGTCGCAAGCGGTGTGACATACACTGCATCCGCGCCAGGAAACAACCAACTCAGGCATTGCTCACAACTTGCGCCCATGCGGAATCGTCGAAAGGGGCATATCCGCGAAAAGGTTTTGATACTCATAGAGGTTAAGGATCTGCATACTGGGCTGGTGAAGCTGGCGCTTCGATCGCTTTCCAATTCATACCTTGGGCGGGGCCAGCGATGGCGACACGTATTTAGCCCTTTCTGCGTTTGCGCTGGATACACTGACGTTTCGCCAGAGCAGTGACGGTTCTCCCAGTTGTCACGATTTTTTTTCGGGTCGTAGATTGAGAGCAATGCCTCGAAATGGCAATGGCGCTGCGCGCCGACTGTAGCATACCCCCCGCCGGTCAACTTGTATTGCGATTCCGTGACTGGGAAAGTAACGGTCCACTCTCAACAGTTGATGGTTTGTAGCGTGTTGAAGCAGGAACCAACCTGATATCAAGGCCATGAATTGTGAATCCCAGTAGAACCTCCGCCCCACCTGGAACGCCTAGCACGCGTACAAGAGGGTTTTGGGAAGGAATCGTGAAAGCGATCGTTGGAAAAGTTAGAAATCTCTCATTAACTGCAACAGATGCGAAAATCAACTGCAGTCGATGGGAAAGTAAAAACCCGAGTACGATAAATCTCGCGATGGGTAGTTCGCGTATATTCTCCAGTTTTTTTTTCATTCAGTTGAAAACTGATTTATTGCTTAAAGAGCTGAAGCCGTATTGCTTTGTCGTGTACTGCGAGTTCAAATACGAATTCGGAGGTACTAATTGACTCAACATTGAAGGAAAGCTGTCCAAAATCATCGAAGACGCCCTTGCATTGGACGATAATTTGGAAAAGCTCGACTGTACTGTGTGGGCGACGGAACAGAGGACAAAGGAAGACGAGCGAGGCGCAAAGGTATGCTATACCGGAAATAAACGCAATGCGTCACACTAGCGTTTAAAGATATAGCTAGGATCGTTGGTATAACTTCAACCAGCCGGAAAGGCAACTTTTACGGATAGTGCTC